CGGATATCTCTTGGGCGCTTCCTTGGGGACCTCCTGGGGGCCGCGCCTGCGCACGTGACAGCACACATCGGGAACCATGTTAGCCCCACGAAAACCAATGCCCAGCATTGTGTCTCGTGGGCCTGCGCACAGCAGGCCACGCGCCACCACCCCCGCGGTCCCTGTCAAAAACCATTTGACAGTGATCGCGGGATGGCCGCGCATCACCCAGATTTAGCCACGAGGTGCATGTTGCTTTGTTTTTGTCAGGGATGGTAGCCCTGCGCGCAGCAGGGAGTATGCTGACACCCCCGCCGTCCCTGTCAGAAACAATACAAAGTGCTCGCGGGCCTCACGAACATGACTCAAGACTTTGCCCCGAAGTGTAGTTTGTATTGTTTTTTGAAAGGGATGGTGGGGGGGGCGCATCGGATTGGCCGCGCATGCTCCAAATGTGGATGCAGAGTGTGGTTTGTATGGCTTTTTGACGGGGATGGTGGGAGGCGGGTTGTCATGGTGTCCTCCTAGTTTTTGTTTGGACGCCGGTCGCCTGGGGCAGGGGGTGTATATCAGTAAGGAAGAGTGATGAACCCTTCCCCGAAGGGGAAGAAGGGGGTTGGAAGAGGAAACGCTCTAGACCACCTTACGCCCTAAAGGGCTGGTGGGATTTCCGAGAGCGACATCTTGCCTCTGATCTGGAGCACGCTGTCCAGAGCCATCTGGACTCGATTGCGCCGCAGCAAGATCCTCCTTCCTCAGGTCGAGGGCGGTGCCACATCGCCTGACCCAGCCACGGCACGTTCGGGGGAAGTCATGCGACGAGGCTAGGACTGGAATGAATCGTTCCAGATCGCCCCAGAACGCTCTCAGAGCGTTCCGTGGCGCTCTTGAACGGCCGCGGCGCCCGATGCATCTTCCAGAACTGCTGGATTTCAGAGGTCCTCGACTTGTCCATGTCCGATCTTATCCCGGTCCTGGTCTCGTCGGTCTCGTCTCAGGAAGCTGAGTCTTTGGCAAGGACCTGATCGAGGCTTGATTCCAGGGCGTCGAGGTTGGAAACAGTCAGCATCATCACCATTTTGATATTTTCTTGTGCTGTCCCGACGGAGGCCCATCGTATGTGGTATATGGCTGAATCTGGGTCCATCCACAGCCCAGCGTCATATCATCATCATCATCATCATCATCATCATCATCATCATCATCATCATCATCATCATCATCATCATCATCATCATCATCATCATCATCATCATCATCATCATCGGTCGCATGTGTAGTTCGTTGTTCAAGCCAGGGCATTGGACGAGCGCAGGAAGATGCGGCAGAGGAGACCAAGGGGTAGGAGGAGGGACGGAGAGACGGAAGGGCAGGAGGGGGTGAGCACTTGGGGAATATCTTCTCCGCTCTTGCAGCATCCGCTTTTGCAGGCGTGCGTTGTTCTTCATCTGAGTGGCTCTGCAGAAGCGGGCGGGCAGTGCGAGTGACTCCAACCCCTCTATGAACGTGGACATGTAGCAAAAAGGGAGGGGATGGATGGAGGGAGGGAGAGGGGAGGGGAAGCACGGAGGATACGGGGGTAGCAGGGACAGGGGAATGAATAAGGAGAGGACGGAGGGGCGATTGAGATACAGGCGGTCCGAGGTATAAGATCGAGATCGGTTCGGGGAGGATGCCCTAGTGTTCTTCGTGTTTGTTGGATGTTGCTGTGCATCCTGGGGAGGGTACCCTTGGATGTTCTGTTTGTTTTGGCCGACGGAGGGTCTCATGTTCCTGAAGGATGTTATTCTGGCCCAGGTCCGACTGTAGGGTGTAAAGGGGGGGAGAGGATGCCGGGCAGAGCTGCCTGCGCGTCCTGAGCCTCTGTGTGATCTTTCTGATGCTGGAAGGATCGGCAGGGCAGCGTGTGCGCGTTCTGGCCGCGGTCTGCCAGCAAGTTCGGTGCATTCTTTTTCCAGCAAGCTCGGTGCACTGCTCCTTTTGCCCCCCACCATGTCCCCTCACCCGCGCCAGGGGTTCGGCCACATCCGCCAGTTTGGGGAGGTGCCCCCCCGAGGATCCCCCCGCGGAGCGCTGGGTATGGACACTTTTCCGCTCCAAAAGGGGTCGGGAAGGTGCCCACGTCCAGCGCTTCACGTCGTCCTCGGGGTCGTCCTCGGGGGCACGCCTCCAAACTGCGGACGTGGATATGGCAGGAGTGGAAAAAAAGCACACAGGCACAATCAAACGTCGATCCGATCCCCTAGGAACAGTTGGGAAAATATGGGAAGCGAAGTGGAAGACGAACGTCCAGAACAGATGGAACAACAGGGCATCCTGGGATTTGTGTCTATTGATTTTTGTGGGTCCCTGGGCCTCTTCAGAGATGCCCCCTGCGCGTGCCGCACCCCGCGCGAGGAGGCGGCGCTGGCCAGGGCGGCGGCGGCTGGGGCGGCGGCAGGGACGGCGGCGACAGGACGGGCCCTCCCCTCTCGCGCCGCGGGCGCGTCCTCGTCGGTGGGCGGGGGCTCTCGCGGTCGCCGGCGGGACGGCCCGGAGACGCGATCGCGCCGCGCCGAAAACATCTAGCAGGGCGGGAGGCTCTCGGCCGTGGTCGGCCTCGGGCGGCCCGCGCCGGGCCGAGCCGGTCCCGGGGAGAGGGCCGGGACTTCCAGGGGCCCCGCGGATGGGTCGGGGGCGGAAAAGAGGGGGGTGATGACTAGGGGGGGGTGGATATCATGGCGTGGGCCATGATATCTCCTCAGATTTCATGGCGCCTCTTCTTATTTCGTTGCGTCCCTGGCCCCCCCGCTGGGCCGCGCACATGCCGCCGGTCATGATTTGCCCCCCCCCCCCCCCCCCTCTTGGACACCCCCCTCTTGGCCGCTCCCGAATGGGAGAAAGGCAGGGCGTCGCACGTCTCTGGGCGGGTCCTCGCGGTCGCCGCCAGGGCGACCCACGGGCCGGGCTCTCCTGGAGGCTGCTGGGCGACTGCAGAGGGTGCGGTTACGACGAGGTGTGGTCTGCGAACGGCGCCGCGGGGGCCTGGGGGGCACGGCGCTGTCCTCGTCGGGCCTCCCCGGGGCGCGGCGGAGAGCTGTATCGGGATCCCTGCCCGCCCCCGAGGGTGCCCCGCAGGGTGCCGGTTGCAAGCCACACCCTCTGCAAGCCGCACCTTCTGGAGTCGCCGATCTGCGCCACGGCTCCCTGCAAGGCCTGTCGCACCCCGGGCGTTCCGTTATAGACTGCACGTAGGAGCTGCCTTGGTGCGGGCCCACTGTGGTCCCCCGACCGCTGAATGCGATGCGATATCGGCGGCTTGCGCGATTGGGTTTGGCCCCCCCCCCCCGCGCCCCCGAATGCCGCGCACCAAAGGTCACTCTTGCCCAGGGTCACTCTTGCGTGCAGCCGATGCCAGCACAGCGGCATCCGCGGGGGCGAAGAAAACACATGGCATGTGGGCGTAAACTTTTGTGGAGGTCCGCGCGGATGTCCTGGATCTCCGCTGAGCCGCCCCTGGCGGAGCGCGCCGCCCTGGCGTTGCTTTTTCCTCCCTGCCTTCGCTTCCACCCCCCCCAGCCATCTTCGCTGGTTTCGGTTCTCATTGTCGTGGTGTCCCGATGTTGCATGGCACGTTCGTGCGTGCTTCTGGCCGAGCCCGATGCGAGGAGCCGGCCGGACGACAAGGGCAAAGGCAAGGGCAAAGGGTCCGCCGACGAGTCGTCCAAGGGCAAGGCTAAGTCCAAGGCGCCCAAATTGGAGGACGACGACAAGCCTGCTGGGGGCAAGGCCAGGGGCAGAAAGGGAACCGTGGGCATACGGACTATTCTCGATGATGCTCAGGACGCGTGTTAGCCCAATGTGTCTATGTGTGTGGTTTCCACGTCCAGCTTCGAAGGATTTGTGTTCGACCCAACGACCCCACCTGGATGGGGCACGAAAAGGAAACGGTTCGCCCGAGACCCTCTTGGAGGTGACAAGGGGGGCGGTCACCGCAGCTTTTCGGTGGTGGTGAAAAACACCCAACTTCGCCGGGCAGCACAATATGTGCAGGGTCAACCCGTATCGTGAGGATGCGCGGTAAAGATGCAAGGGCCTTGGAAGCCCACGTGGATGTGTTTTCGAACGAGGCTGGCCAGCGAAAGTCGCTGAGGCTGGGCCGAAGGCGCAAGGATGCGAGGGTACCTTCGAGAAGGTTGCCCATCTTTCCTATGCGGGTGGGCCCGTCGAGGCAGCGGTGTGCCCCCCCCCCCCCTTGGCGTCTAATGTTTTTTTTTGTTGGGGGGGGGGGCCTCCTGGAGGCTTCTCGTCGCCGCGACGGGGCCAAGCAGCAGCAGCAGCAGCAGCAGCAGCAGCAGCAGCAGCAGCAGCAGCAGCAGCAGCAGCAGCTGCAGCTGCCGCCGCCGCTCTTCCGCGCCGCTCCCTGCTGCCTGCCCCTGCCAGCTCTTGGCCGTGCGCCGCCGCTGCTGCTGCCCCCCCCCGGCGGAGGCGAAGGGCAAGGCCGCGAAGGGCGGCGACGGCGAGCCCAAGGGCAAGGGCAAGGGCAAGCCCGACGGCGGCGCGCCCCCGGCCCGGCCGCGGCGCGGCAGCGGCTCAGCGGCATCGGCCTCGTCCGGCAGCGACCTCGCGCGAGGCGTCTGCCGGCAGCGGCGCGCCGTTGCCCGGCAAAGCGGCGGCGGCGGCGGCGGCGGCGGCTGCGACAGCGGCGCGACCCCGCTCGGCAGCGGCTGTGGCGGCGGCCCGTCATGTCGGCGGCGCGGCGCGAGAGCGGCTCCGCGCCGCCGCGGGGGAGGCTCAGCTCCTAGGCGGTCGGTCCGTGAAGCACTGGGGGAGAGTGGGGGGGACCTTTTGCGGGCAACGCTTGTATCCATGTCCACTGCGTCTTGGAGTTTTGAGTTCCCTTCCCCAGAAGACCAGAGGCGCAGTGGATATGGGTAAGGCTATGACCCCTGTAAAGGCTAGAGTTTTATCCATATCCACTACGCCTCGGCCTTTGGCGCCCCTTCCCAGAAAATCCAAGATGCAGTGGACATGGATGTCAATCGTGCCCGCACCTTTGTCGCCGATCCGTCGGCGATGTCTCGCCGATCCATCGCCGATCTGTCGGGAACGTGAGGAGTCGCTATCGGGTCCCTCTCGCCGATCTATCGGCATTGCACCAGCAATCCTTCACGCTTCGCGTATCCCCCACCAGTGTCACCCCAGGCCGCGTCTCTAGGTGTCACCCGCCCTGGGGCGCCTACTTTGCTGTCGTACAGCGACAGCCAGTCTTTTCGGTGCCCAGGGGCCAGCCACAGTGGCCCCCCCCCTTAGCGCACCTTCCTTTGCTGTTCACCGGACAGCCGCCCGCTGCCGGTAGCAGGGATCTGTCGCCTGAAATAGTCGCCTCCCTGCTCGCCGCTCAGCTGGTGCTTTTACAGGTGCCTCTTCAGTTGTGTTGCGTAATGCTGCGCAACATGGCCGTTTTAGTGGCGCTTCCGGCGCTGGCACACTCCAGCCCGGGCAGCTCCTGCACCGTCCAGCCACCCCCCCCGTCTTTCTACGTGACACATGCGGCGGTTAGCTGCACCCTCCTGACGTGTATACGATCTCGGCGTGCAGTTGCCATCCAGTTACGTATCTCTTGCGGCGGTTAGCTGCACCCCCCATCTCCGCGCCAGTCGCACCCTGCGGGCCGCAGTGGCCCTTCCACAGCTGGTCGGCACTATGGCTTCGGAAGGTCGGCGGTGTCCTCCGAGGTGAGGGTGTCAGTGGCGGGTTGCCTTGCCAGTGTGGCGCCTCCCCTGCGTTTCTCGGCGCCCCTTCCCTTCATCGGTCCCGACCCGTCCGTGGGCCGACGCCTGCCTCAACAGCTCTGTAGTGGTGTTCGCTGGCTGCGCGCTGAGTGGATCAGCCTTCAGCGCCGTCAGCCTGTTTTCCACCCCCAGCAGCCGGTGCGCCGGGCTGGTGCCAGTTGTTTGTTGAGGTGTTGCTCGGAGCTCGGCGCCGCCAGGGCGACGTTCCGTTGCACCCGCACCTCTGTGCGCTCGTTCTTTTGGACCGGGCGGCGCCTAGGTGCTTCTCGGCTCGAATGTGGAGCATTTTGCTCAGTGCGCGTGCACCGCGCGCCTTGCGTGCAATTTGCCTGTTCCGCCGTCCCGGACACGCCTGTTGCCGCCAGACCGTCGTCGCGCGGCCGCTGACCCAAAAAAGTATCCCCACCAGTCCTGGACCTGGTGTTCCTGTCGTCTGAGCTGCGGCGTAGCCCGCTCCCGCCGCTCAGTTTGTAATTCGTCCCGCCGCTAGTTATCTGCGCATGTTCGGACGGCGCGCGGTTGGACCGCAACGCTCGCGAAAAAAATATATCCCCATTCAAAAGCCCTGCCCATGAGAGCTGACGGAAAAAGGGACGAAGAGACACATCTAGAGAAGCAAAGCGAGCAACCAGGGTAAACCGAGAGATCTCTGCGAGCAAGGGGGTGGCCTTGGAAGGCCTCCTCGGGCCATCCCTGGGGGCCGCGTGGGGGCGAGGGGAAGAGGAGGAGGAGGAGGGCGAGGAGGAGGAGGATAAGGACGAGGAGGGCGAGGAGGACGAGGGCGCGTATGAGGACGACGCGGACGAGGACTCATGGAACCATCTAGAGGTAGTATTGCGGCTGCTGCTGCTGATGCTGCTGCTGGTGCTCTCTGGGAGTTTTGGGGGCCCTCTTGAAACCCTCTCTGTAACCCAGGAAGGCTTCCTGGGATCATCTTGGAAGCCATCGATTACAGGATGGGGGGGGCCCAACTCAGTTCCCCCTTCAGGAGCCCGCAAACCGCTTCTTGGGACCCTATTGGAGCGCTCTTCGAGCTTGGAGCATCTTGGGAGCCATCTTGAGCCGGCTTGGGCTATCTGAGCCATCTTGGGGGTCATCTTGGGCTTTCTGAGACCGCTCGGGGACCTCTTGGGGGCCTCTCGGGTGCCTTTTGGGGCCCTCTTGGGACCCTCTTGGGACCCTCTTGGGACCCTCTTGGCGTTCTCTTGGGGCCCTCTTGGGAGTTATGGAGCGCCTCTTGGGGCCGTCTTGGAGGCCATCGATCAAAGGAGGGGGGTCCTCGATTTGCTCCCCCCCTTTGGGGCCATCAAAATCGCATCTCAGGGCCCTCTTGGGGCGCTCGTGGGGCGATCTTGGGTGTTCTTGGGGCCGTCTTGGGGGCCTCTTGGACCCCTCTTGGAGCTTTCTTGGGCCATCTTGGGGCCATGTTGAGGCCTCAGGAGCGCATCGGAAGCGACAAGGCGAGAAGGCAAACATCATTGGTTTTCCTCAGGTTGTTGAAGGGTTTTGGCTTCTCGGGAGGGCCCCGAGGGAGCTCCTCAAGCACTTGGATCCGTCTTGTAGCCCTCTTGGGGCCTCCTGAAGGCATGTCGGAAGCTGTCTTGAAACATGTTTGGCTACCTGGAACGATCTTGGAGGCCATCTTGGGCTATCTGAGTCCCTCTTGGAGCCATCTTGGGCCATCTCGGGCGCTCCAACTGCTCGCGAACCCCCCCGTCCAGGTCCAGGGGAGGGGGTAGGGGGAGGGGTCAAGTTACCCCCTCCCCGCCCGCAAGCCGTGTCGCTCACTCCCACCCGCCCTCCCAACACATACGTAGCACCCGAGTCTGGCCCGAGCCTCAGCATATTCAGCAATCGTCTTCGGATGGGCAGCTACTGGGGGCCAATCCGCCGCCGCCGCCGCCGCCGCCGCCCCCCGTTGCCAAACCGCCGCCGCTGCCGCCACCGCTACCGCTACCGCCGCCGCCGCCGCAGCCGCCGCCGCCGCCGCCGCCTCAGCCGCCGCCGCCGCCGCCGCCGCCACCGCGCGCCGCCGCCGCCGCCGCCGCCCCCGCTGCCAAACCGCCGCCGCCGGCCGCAGCCGCAGCCGCTGCCGCCCGCCGCCGCCGCGCCGCAGCCGCCGCCGCTGCCGCCGCTGCCGCCGCCGCCGCGCCGCCGCCGCCGCCGCCGCCGCCGCCGCCGCCGCAGCCGCCGCAGCCGCCGCCGCCGCCAAGTGTACTCTGTATTGTTTTTTGACAGGGATGGTGGGGGGGGGGCGCATCGGGTTGGCTGCGCATGTTCCGAATTTGGAGGCAGAGTGTGTGTTGTATTGTTTTTTTTACAAGGGATGGTGTGGGGGGGGTGGCATGGACCCTGGTTGGCCCCCAGTCGCCTGGGGGAGGGGGTGTTTACTAATAGGGAACAGTGATCAAGACCCCCCCCCGCCCGCAAGCCGTCTCGCTCACTCCCACCCGCCCTCCCAACACATACGTAGCACCCGAGTCTGGCCCGAGCCTCAGCATATTCAGCAGTCGTCTTTGGATGGGCAGCTACTGGGGGCCAATCCGCCGCCGCCGCCGCCGCCGCCGCGCCGCCGCCGCCGCCGCCGCCCGCCGCCGCCCCGCCGCCGCCCGCCGCCGCCGCCGCGCCGCCGCCGCCCGCCGCCGCCGCCGCCCCGCCGCCGCCGCCGCCGCCGCCCGCCGCCCGCCGCCGCCGCCGCCGCCGCCGCCGCCGCCGCCGCGCCCGCCGCCGCCCCCCCGCTGCCAAACCGCGCCGCCGCCGCAGCCGCTGCCGCTGCCGCCGCCGCCGCCGCCGCCGCAGCCCCGCCCCGCCGCCGCCGCCCCCGCCACCGCCGCCGCCGCCGCCGCCGCAGCCGCCGCAGCCGCCGCCACCGCCGCCGCAGCTGCCGCGGCCGCCGCCGCCGCCAAGTTTATGTATTGTTTTTTGACAGGGATGGTGGGGGGGGGCCGCATCGGGTTGGCTGCGCGTGTTCCGAATTTGGAAGCAGAGTGTGTTTTGTATTGTTTTTTGCAAGGGATGGTGGGGGGGGGGTTGTCATGGACCGTGGTTGGCCCCCAGTCGCCTGGGGGAGGGGGTGTTTATTAATAGGGAACAGTGATAAACCCCTCCCGGAAGGGGAAGAGGGTGTCTTGGAAGAGGAAAGAAAGAATATCGTTAGACCACCTGCGCCCAAAAGGGCTGGTGGGATTCCAGCTCGATGGTACCCCCCCGAGCTGGTCCCCCCTCGGGGCGGGTCGTACCAGGGGCGCCCCGCGGGGGCCATGGGGCCGCGTGGCGGGGCTGGTTGCGGGCCTGCCCGGTGAGCGAGCTGGTTGCGGGGTTCAGAGCAGGCAGGGCTCAGCCAGAGCGCCGGGTTCTGCAGGATCCTGCCAAGTCGGGGCTCAAGAGACGGGGGTCAATCAAGAGACGGGGGTCCATGCAAATGGGGGTTAGTCAGGGCGCCGGATCTCGCAGGACACTGCAGAGCCAGGGTTGCATTGACCCGAGTTTGGGCGCAATATCTTGCAGGATCCTGCAGCATCCTGCAACGCCTGGCTGACCCGAGTGTGGATTGACCCGGGTCCGCAGATCCCCGACCAAACCGGATTTGGGCTGAGCTGGTCGCGGCCCTGGGGGTGCATGTTGGCTGAGCTGGGTCTGCGAGCAGGGCGCAGAAGCCGCAGGGCGCAGGCTTTTCTGAATTGGCCGAGCCGGGTCTGCGAGCCAGGTCCGTCCACGCCCGACACGAGCGAGTCGAAAGGTCGGGCGGGTGGTAATGGGGGGCTGACCTACATAGGGGATGGAGAGAAGGGCTCCGAATGGGCCCAGACATGCGACTTCCTGCCTGATTTTTTCAATGCGGGGTCGCTGGAAGTCCCGACCCTCTCCTCGCGATCCGTTTTTCATCCTGAGTCGTTTTTTGACGGCCCCGAGGCCCAGCGAGGGCCCCCCGAGGCCGAAAACGGCCAAAAACCAAAAATCTCCCCGTCCTGATTTCTTCTTTACGACGCGATCATGTCTGGGAATTGGGGGGGTGAAGAACAGGGTTCAAAAGGGGCCCTTCTCTTCACCCACCCTTTGCGCCCCCCCCCCCCCCCCTGTTATCAGGAAGACAACTGTCGGGTTGGGGGGATGGGGTTGAGAGACATACGGATATCATTACCCGTAGGCGGCCGAAGGGATCGGTCATTGCATCCGGATGCTATTGCTCATGCCCTTCATCCTCCCAACCCCTTCCCCCCAAGACGAGAATTATTCTCCTTGGAAGGGCCCCTTCTCTCCACCCACCATTCAGAAGCTGGGCGAAGGCTGGCAAATCCGTGGCTGCTAAGACGGAGCTCCGGGTAGTTTTTTTTTTTTGTGTGTTTTTTTTTCTTCCGGGAAGCAGCCCGTTTACTTCTTGGTGCGCTGAGCTTGGTTCCGGGAATCTGTTTCTTTCCTCCAGGAAGACCGTTCTAGCAGCCACGGATTTGCCAGCCCTCGCCCCGCTTCCAAACCATCTGCGTCGCCCCGCATTGCCGCCCGCCCGAGGGCAGGTCGGCCCCTCCGCGTGGGCGGTGCAATTTTTTGGCTGCGGGCGTGTTCGCTCCACTTCGGGCCCAGGGACCCTCGCGGATCGATCCGGCCCGAAAAGGGGCGCAGAAGGGCGGGGCCCAGGGCTCGGGTCGTGATTTTTCTGTTCGCGATGCCGCCATTTTTTGCTGCAGCGTCGGGTGTCAGGGCCCGCCGACGTGGGCGTTGACGGTGGAGCGCCGCCAGCGGCCATGGGGGTCGGCCGCCAGCGAGCGGTCCGCGCTGCTCCCGGAGACCCTGGCGCCGCAGTCTGCTGCACGGCGGGCGCCGTCGCTCCACCCTCGGGCCCCGGGAGCCTCGCGGATCGGTGCGGCTCGAAGAGAGGCGCGGGGAGGCGGGGTCCGGGGCTCCCGTCGCGTGTGTTTCTTGGCATCGCTCGGACGTGTGCATTTTTTCCTTCGGCGAGGACCAGCGAGGAGCATCCTTGATCATTTGGCGAAAAGGCCACGCACGAAGCCGAAAAAAGTACACGGAATGGACGTCCAAACGATGGCAAGTTTTTTGCGATGTTGCTTCCTAGACTCGGGAGGAAAAAGCGGTCCCGGGGAAGGGGTCCCGACCTCGGGGGGTCGACGTTGTGAAACAAATCATGACGTCGGAGGTGGGTTCATCGTTTCTGCCCGACGCTCCCTCAGAGCCGACGCTGCCAAATTTGCAGCATCGCGAAAAATCACGACCAGAGCCACAGACAACATCTTTCTGCGTCCTGGATCGATCTGTGAGGGTCCTGGTCCCCGAAATCGGGCGAGAACGCCCGTTGTGAAGAAGTTGCAACGCCAGGATCTCAGGTCTTATCGGCAGAGGATTGCGGGGGGGGGGGGGAAAGTCCCAGACCCCCGACGTCGTGATCTTTTCGCAACGTCGACCCTGAGAGGTCTGGACCCCTTCCCCAGAACCAGTTTTGCATCCCGAGTCGGTTTTTGACGGCCCCGAGGCCCAGCAAGGGCCCCCGGAGGCCGAGAATAGCGAAAAACCTCCCGTCGTGATGCCTTCCTTGCCCGCTGGGGGTCTGGGGACGTGGGCCGCCCGCGCCGAGGCGACGGCGGCGGCAGGAAGGGCAAGGCCAAGATCAGCGAGGACGCCTACGACGACGACGACCAGGCCGGCGAGCCCACGCCGCGCGGGGCCCGCGCCCCCCTGGGGCGCGGAGCCCCCCTCCCCTGCGATCCAGGCGTCGCACTTGCTGCGCCCAGCTTCGCGACCCGGGGCCCTCACGGATCGATCGAACCCGAGGAATGCCGCACCAGCCCAGACCCCCTCGCGCCGTGAAAAGACATCACGACGCCGTGAAAAAAACATCCCGTCGTGACGACGGGATTTTTTTCGTGGTTTTCGGCTGCTGGGGACCCTTATACCGGCCATCGGGACCGTCAACAGTTTATTCAGGACGAACAGCCGGTTTCGGGGAAGGGGTTCAGACCTTTGGTGGTCGACGCTCTGAAAAATTCACGACGTCGGGGGTCTAGGAAGAGGGGGTCTAGGTCCCCAGTCGTCGTGTGCGACGATGTATCTTGTTCGCAACGTTGAATCTCTGGGTTCCACAGGACCCACAAGGAGGTCCAGCGACAAGGGGGTGGTGTAATAGATTTGGTTCAATCGATTTGTGGGGTTGCAATAGATTTGGGGCGTACAATACATTTCGTGGCGCAAATGTATTGCTGCGTTTTCGCGTGCAGTACATGAGTTGCAATACAATGCAATACACTTCTCTGGCGCAGTACATGTGCAATACATTTGCCCAAAATCTATTGCACCAACCCCTTTCAGCTGGACCCCCTTCTTGGTCGCAAGGAAGGGCTCCACCCGAGACAGGAGGCGGTTGGAAGGCAGTGCCGATGCGCGTCTCGAGTGTGGCCAACGCTCGGCCCACCAGGCCCCGACTTCTTGCGTCTTGAGCCTCTCCATGCGGGGCCCCGTGGACGTCCCGTCGAGTCGAGTCGTTCTCCTCCTCCTCCTCCTCCTCCTCCTCCTCCTCGCTTCTCGCTCCTCCTCGTCTTCCTCCCTCTCCTCCTCGTCCTCCTCCTCCTCGTCCTCCTCCTCCTCCTCCTCCTCCTCCTCCTCCGCCTTGTTGTCGTCCTCCTCGCTCCTTCTCCTGCTCGTCCTCGCTCCTCCTCCTCCTCCTCGCTCCTCCTCCTCCTCGCTCCTCGCTCCTCCTCCTCCTCCTCCTCCTCGCTCCTCCTCCTCCTCCTCCTCGCTCCTCCTCCTCCTCCTCGCTCCTCCTCCTGTGGCGCTGCTCAGCCCAGGGCCAGCTCTTCACGTCGAGTCGTGCTTTCACGGTCCCCGGGGCCCGGCGAGGGCCCCCCCGTGCCGCAGACGGAGGAGAACCGCCGCCCCCAGACTCCGGCGGATCGTGAGGCTTTCGCAGCGGCTTCCCCGGAGCTGGCTGTTGCATCCCGAGTCGTTTTCTGGTGCCCGCGGGAGCGCGGTACTTCTCCGCAACCGGGGTGCCGGGCTGAGAGCCGCGATGGGGGGAGCAAAGGGGATACGAGGAGGAGTCGAGGGGGAGGGCGAGGGAATGGTGGAGGGAAGGGAGGGAGGGAGGAGGTGCTTTGAAAAACGCTGTTTTTTAAAATTCCGTTTTCAAGATCGACATCTTTTTTTTAAGTTCTGGTGCGCCGTTTGTTTGTTCTTTTTGTTGTTCTTCGCCTTTACGTTTTCAGGCCCAGGATCGGCCCGAGGCCCATCTGCTCGTTTTCCTTCCGTTTTTTTTTTTTTTGCGAATTCAAAACGTTTTTTGTCATCACCATGCCAACTGCCTGACGTCCACATTCGGGGTGCCGTTTTCAACACGTTTTCGTCGAGTTGCAATCGCAGAGTGGAAAACCGTCCAAAAAACGCCCCCCGCATTTTTGGCAACAGCCAAGGGGGCGCCGCCTGCACGGCGCCTCCGCCCCAGAGGGGCTCTCGGCAGGGGCCCCTAGGCTGGGCCCCCCCCCCCAGAAGGTGGAGAGCCTCTGCAGATAGATGCTCGGAGGACAGCAACAGGAGCATGATTCGTACCCGCGTGCGCGCACTTGAATTACACTGGCAAGGGAGACAGCACGCCGACTTGAGTGTATGATGCCGAAACAATAAACCACGTGCTTCACCATTCTTGAATGCTAAAGAACAGCGCCGCAATACAAAGATGATTGGAACAATCCTTGCACCCTCAGGTCCCTCGACACGCGGAATATAGACACGACGACACCCATACCTCCAGCGATGCAGCACCATGGCAGCACGAGCACATTGACAAGGAAGCCTGTGCGCCGAAATGTGTAGCTCTGAAGCCAAACCGACTGAACACAAACATTGCCGCGATCTTCACCATTATTGCATGCGATGAGGCCGGCACCAACCGTTAAGAACGATGACGCCCGCACCCTCTGCATCCTCAGGTCCCTCGAAACGCGGCCCGCCAGCTTGAAATAGTACGCTCGGGTGCGGGCGGGTGGGTTAGTGCACAACCAGGCTCCCCCCATGGGCCCCGCACCCGAGACGGACAATGAAGAATGTGCACAGGAAAGCGGAGAAGAAACCCAAACCATCCTGCTCACGACAGCCGATTCGCTTGAGAATCACCCGCAAATACAATAGCACGGCACCTTGGCAGAACAAGAAAACAAAATTGAATGAAGCCTGACTGCAACACTTCGCCCCGCCCTTAGCCGATCCACGCCTCAAGAAAGAAGACAAAAGGTGCGGATAGCCACAAGCACGCCGCGATGAGGCGGAGGAGGAGGAGGAGGAGGAGTAGGAGGAGGAGGAGGAGGAGGAGGAGGAGGAGGAGGAGGAGGAGGCGGACTGCATGAACATAGTGTTTCTGGAGGTCCGCGCGGATTTTTGGATCGGCGTTGGGCCCTCCCGGCTGGCGCCCTCCGCGAGCCAGGGAGGCGGGGTGCAGCGCCGATCCAGGCAAGCTGTGCGGACCTCGGAGAAATCGTGCCGATGCCGTTTCTGTCTGTTCCTCTATGATACGGCAGGTCCTTGTCGTGCCCGCGCGGCTGCGGCCCCGGCGCGCGGTTGGACGCCCCCAGTGGCCCGGCATCGGCCGGGGTGGATCCGTCTGCGCCGTCGGAGAGCCGCGAGCGCTCCGGGCGGAGAGGCTCGAGGCGGGCCAGAGACCAGCGCGCTGGCCGTCATTCAGGAGGGAAAAAACACACAGAAACCATTAAACGTCGATTCCCCCGAAAATATGGGAAAACATAGGAAGTGGGGGGGAAGACGAACACCCAGAACATATGGAAAAATATTGGATTTTTTCCCTACCTAGGCTCTGCCTAGAATGGTTCTTACTCTCTTAGCTTAAAGGGGCCGGGCAGTGGAACACGCCCCGGGCGGTTCCCCCAGTCCCCTGGGAGCGGTTCCCCCCAGTCCCCTGGGAGCTTTAGCTTTAGCTTTAGCTTAGCTTTAGCATAGCTGTAGCTCGGCTTTAGCTTAGCGTTTCGCTTAGCTTTTCGCTTAGCGTTTAGCTTAGCTTTAGCTTTAGCTTTAGCTTTAGCTTTATCTTTAGCATAGCTTTAGCATAGCTTTAACTTAGCTGTAGCTTAGCTTTAGCTTAGCTGTTGCTCAGCTTTAACTTAGCTTTAGCTTAGCTTTAGCTTAGCTTTAGCTTAGCTTTAGCTTAGCTTTAGCTTAGCTTTAGCTTTAGCTTTAGCTTAGCTGTGGCTTAGCTTTAGCTTAGCTTTAGCTTAGCGTTACTGTTACTACTAAT